AGGTATAACTTGTGGAGGGAAAGGGAAAAAACAAATTGTTTAAATAGGGATACAGGTGAACCCATTGCAACAATGAGATGTACAAGATGTTATGTTGAAAAACAAACTTTACAACTTGGAGGGAGGTGATAGGAGGGCAGAGATGGTAGAGGAAAACAAAGGAAGAGGCAACAATGCTTGATAAGAAATGTACTCATTACCTTGCTCATGTAATCGTAACCCCTCTGTACGGTATTTTCACAATAAAAAACATTAATATAAAAAAGAATGTTTTAGAGGTTCTAATATCGAGTGACTGGCAGATAACTAGCAGGTTTCATGCCTATGGATTATTTGCATTCAGAGCAAGGAGTTGTGCTTTTACAATTAAATCCAAAGAATTTCCTGTCACTAAATATGTGTGAAAATAGATGTCAAACAAAGCTCCTTTATCATATTTATTTTTCTTTTCCTAGAGGGAAAAGCTCATCTATATAACCTACATCAATTTAATTCATAAGTGGCTTCATTGCCGGTGGGATATTTCCTCAGCAGAGGGATATTTGGAATCAGAAAGAGGAGTCTGAGGTGGTCTTTTCTAGAGGGTTTGTTGTTGTGGTTTGCTTTTATCCTTTGGTCTTATAACATAACCTTCTCCCCACTTCCCTCATCAAGAAACAAGAAACAATAAGATCAACTTAGTGGGTTTATTCTTCATCTGTGCACAATGACTAGCACTGATTTTTTTCTGATCTTTGGATGAGATAAAGGTCAGTTTTCCTACAGCAATTTGAAATTTGTCAGCCTTAGCTTTGGCCAGTGTTGAGTCCCAGAATAGAAGTCCTAGTATGCCTGGTATAACATGTATTGGAAATGCCATATTCAAAGGAACATGTGTGTGTGTGTGTGTGTGTGTGTACACACTCACACACATGTGCTGGTCCTTAGGCTTGAACTCAAGGCCTGGATGCTGTCCTTGAGTTTTTTGTCACTCAAGGCTACCACCTCTACTTTTGCCTTTTTTTTGGTATTTTAATTGGAGATAAGAATATCATACATTTTCTTGTCCAGGCTGGCTTTGAACCTTGATCCTTAGATCTTAGTCTCCTGAGCCACCAGCACCCGGCTTAAGGAACACAAATCCTTACTCCAATGCTTCGGATAAATAAACTGATGAAGAATTACCTTTCCTTGTTCTCCCTCTCCCTGAAATTTTACATAAATCTCAAACTGAAAAAGTGATCTTATTTTCTTAAACTTTCTTGCCTTTTTTCCTTTATTGCCATTATCTTCTCTATGCTATTCTAAGTCTTTTAAAAAACCAGTAGTAAATTTCAGACCCAGAAACACAACAAATCAAAGAAAGGTTGGACAAACGGGATTACATGAAACTTCAGAGCTTCTGCATGGCAAAGGACATAGCTAAATAAGATCGATAGAAAGCCCACAGATTGGGAGAAATCTTCACTAGCCATACAACAGACAAGAGCCTCCCTCATATCTAAAATAGACTTAGAACTCAAAAAATTAAATTCCCCAAAAACAAATCCTCAAAGAAATACCCACCCCATTAATAAGTGGGCTACAAACTTAAAGAGAAACGTCTCTGAAGAGGAAATAAGAATGGAGTAAGCCAGGCCCAAAGAAACATAGGTCCCATGGTTTCCCTTATTTGCAATAACTAGTATATATCTGAGACAAGCAGAAAAGGTCAGATAAGTTGATGTTAGGTAAAATGAACCCCAAGATAAGTATTCAAATGTTTTTTTCTTCTTGCAATTGTTTCTAACATATTTATAAGATGATTTCTTTGTTTCTTTGTGTGTCCCTCCCCCACAGTATAACCCCTGCTTTCATTGTATTTGATGTTGGTATAATTTGTGGAGGGGAAGGGAAAAAACAAATCGTTTAAATAGGGATACAGGTGGACCCATTGCAACAATGAGATGTATAAGTCGTTATGTCGAAAAACAAACTATACAACTTTGGCCGGATGGGAGGAGGGTGGGGATGGGAAGGGGAAAAATAAAAAATAAACAAAAAGAATAGCCAATACACAGGAAGAAATGGTCAACATCTCTGGCCATAAAAGAAATGTAAATCAAAACATTGAGATTCTACCTCACCCCAGTCAGAATGGCTATAATCAAGAAATTTAATAACAACAGATGCTGGAAGGGATGTGGCCAAAAGGGAACACTGCTACACTGTTGGTGGGAGTGTCTTGTTCAACCACTCTGGAAAGCAGTATGGAGGTTCCTCAAAAGACTTCACATAGAGCTCCCCTATGACCCAGCAATCCCACTTCTGGGTATTTACTCAAATGACCACAAATAAGGCCACATTAAAGCTACCAGCACAACTATGTTTATCACAGCATTTTTCACCATAGCTAAGATATGGAACCAACCCAGATGCCTCTCAGTAGATGAATGGATCAAAAAAATTTTATATATATATATATATATATATATATATATATATATATATATATATATATGAATTCTATGCCTCCATCAGAAAGAATGACACCATCCTATTTGTCAGGAAATGGAAGGACTTGGAAAAATCATATTAAGTGCAGTAAGCCAGACCCAAAGGAGCATAGGTCCTTAGGTCTTCTTTATTTGTAATAATTAGTATACATTTAGGATAATCTTAGCGGATGAGCAGAATAGCTCAATAGCCATATACATATGACCATATAAGATGATGTGAAATGAAATGAACTCCAAGACACCGACACAAAAGGTTTTTCTTTTTTGTTCTTGTTCTCAATGTACTATGTGATTTTTTTTTCTTTTGTGTTTTTTCTCCCTATTGTTTATCCACTGTTGTCACTGTATTAAATTTGCTACCCTGGGTATTGTATATACGTTTATCTGAACTAAGGAAGGAAAAGGGAACAACAAAATGGTGAGACAAGGAACAAAGGGGAACCTATGCAACAGTGATACTCACAAGACAGTATGTTAGAAATGATCTGTACAACATGGAGTAGGGGGAGTTGGGGAGGAAGGGAAAGGGAGGAAATGAGGGAAAGGCTAACAAGTTAGACAAGAAATGAAATCACTACCTTACTTATGAAACTGTAACCCCTCCATACATCACCATGAGAATAAAATTTTCCAAAAAGAAAGAAAAGAAACCAGAAGAGACCCTTGGTAAGTTTGGGCCATGGAGTAGTCACTTGCAGCCCTTCACTTTTGATCTGAAGTTTTTCTCTTCTAAAGAATTCCTGATGTCTGTAGCATATACCTAGGACTTGAGGGTGAAGGGTGGGGGTCGATAAAGGAGGAATGGTGATTGTCTACTTGTAGTAAGCAGACACTCAGCTCTTCTAATCATGGACATAGGTATTTTAAGGTAATTTTAGTTGGATGTTGCCTTCATTCAAACATTTGCCAGGCACTATATGTTTATTTGGCTCAGAATCCATTCTTATTTTCTTAAAGTAGAGCAAGTTTTACACGTTGTAGCACTTTCTTCCTTTTTTTTTTTTTTTTTTTTAATAACAACTACCGTGACCTCTACTTCCAAATTAAGGCACCCAGAGAAAGCTAACTATTCTGTGTAAGTTATAAGAACATTGTAGAGGTTCCATCTACCAGCCAGATCAAGTGTCATGTTGGAGCGGGATCAGAACCTGGTGGTTATGAGTGGCCACATAGCCTCCCATGGGGCTCTGCTGAGATTTCCATAACTGAAGCATAGCAATGTTATGCACTTCACAGTAGCTATTTAGTTACAGGACAGAAAAATAACCAGGAAACATTTATTTAGAAATGACCTCTTACTATCTTCCTTATACCCACTTATTCACCTCTCTACCTACAAGCTTGACTCATCGTCTCGCTGCTTCTGATATTTTTCTTTCCCTTTTTGGTGCTGGTACCCAGGTTTGAACTCAGGGATTCTTGCTTTACTTGCTTGCTTCTCTGGCACTCTACTACTTGAACCCTACCTCCAGCCCAGCTTTTTGGTGCTTATTTCGGAGATGAAGTTTACTGGACTTTACTGTTCAGGCTGACCTTGAATTGTGATCCTCTATATTTCAGCCTTCCTAGTAGCCTGGGATTACAAGTATAAACCATAAGTGCATGGCTTTGCCATTTTCTCAAATGAATTTGATTAGCATGGGCTGAGGAACTACCATGTCAACTCTATTCCACATGGGAAAGGTTCACTGATAAATGACTAAACAACAAATCAACATGAACATATTCACCTAATAATAGTACACATTTCATAAAACTGTAGCATGCCAATATATTGTTAAATATAGATATTTTTCCATACAGTCTTCTATTTTTTTAATGTTAAAGTAATCTTTACAATTTCCTTTTAATCTCTTGCTCTCTTTCTTTTGTTGGCTAGGCAGGTATTCAACCACTCGAACCATGCCTCCAGCCCTTTTTGCCTTCATTACTTTAGAATAGGGTCTCACTTCTGCCCAAGTAAGCCTAAACTGCAGTCCTCTTATTTATGCTTCTTCCATATTTTGGAGGATCGTCACACACTATCATACTCCTTTTTATTGGATGAGGTGGGGTCTCATATACTTTTTCATTTGTTTGACTTTGAATCACCATCCTCCCAAATTTATCTTCCAGAATAGCTAGGAATACAGATGTGATCTACTGGTACCTGACTCTTGTTCCATTTCTTAATGTCAAAAGGAGGAAATGGTATGGATTACATATTGCTGTCTTTGTAACTTTTGAGAATTATTCTGTCATAAAACCCAGAAAGCCTTGACTCTATGTGCATATTGACCAAGTGTAAAATCGTAAAGCATTTTTTTAAATTCTCTAGTAAGAGGGCATCTGGAGGGCAGAAATAAATTTTCTATTAGTTCTTCAGGACAAGTGACGGTGAAGAAAATAACATGCATCATTCATTCACAAATCATGTGTTAAGCAGCAGACATAGAGCAGGCCTGTGTCAACAATGCTTGGATTGGGACAAAAGTAGTCATTCAATCTTTCCCCAAATTCAGAAACCAAATTGCAAGCCCTTACCTTGGAGGGCCTGTAAGCTATGGGTCTGTACGATAATGCAGAGCTGCAGGACCAGCTGTGGAGCACTTTCCAGAAAGGTGGCTAGCAAATGCAGCATACTCACATCGGCATACTCATACACCATTTTCCAGTAAAACCTCCATCTGTCATTCTCCCCACTCTGTCGGCTCCGAATACCTAAGTATATTGTGTGGAAATACCTAGAAAGAAAAATAGAAGAAGAAAGAGATGAGTGATTACTTGTTAAGCAAACTCTGTTTAGCAAGTCACATTAGGCAAGCACACAGAGGACACAATTAACTTGGTGGCTTCTCACTGAGAACTCCCAGTTAGCTGCTTTATGAGGATCCCTATTCCTAAATGCTCACTTTGAGGGGTATTTCGATTTAAATCTTCATTAAAAGCATTCTGTGAATTTCAATGTGACAAAGACAGAGGGACATTTGATGAACACCCAGGTCAGAAAGGGACTTGCTACTTAAAAAATTCACATACAAAGCTGAGCACTGGTGGCTCACGCCTGTAATCCTAGCTATTCAAGAGGCTGAGATCTGAGGATCACAGTCCAAAGCCAGCCTGGGTAGGAATGTCTATGAGACTTTTATCTTGAATAAACCACTTTTTAAAAAGCTGGAAATTGCCAGGCACTGGTGGCACTGGTGGCTCACACCTAGCTACTCAGGAAGCTGAGATATGAGGATCTCAGTTCAAATCCAGCCAGGCAGGAAAGTCTGTGAGATTCTTAGCTCCAATAAACCACTCAGAAAAAAACCAGAAGTGGCACTGTGGTTCAAGTGGTAGAGCACTAGCCTTGAGCTGAAGAGGTGAGGGGCAATGCCCAAGCCCAGAGTTCAAACCCCACAACTGAAAAAAAAAAGCTGGAAATTAAGCTATTGCTCAAGTGGTATAGCAAAAATGCTCAGAAACAGTTCCCAGGCCTTGAGTCCAAGCCTCAGGACTGACACAAAACGAAACAAAACAAAACAAAAATCATATATATTCTTTCTTTTCAGACCATCTCTGTGCCCACAAGTAATCAAGAGGTAAAATTTTCTCCTAGGATCCAACATATGCCTCAAGTACTAACATGCATATGCTTCTACATCCTCCCTATGTTTTTGGGTTTTTTTTGATTCTATGAGGTTTGAACTCAGGGCTTTATGCTTTCTAGACAATCACTCTATCACCTGAATCACCACACTACCAGATGTTTTTGCTTTTAGTTACTTTTTTAGGTAGGCTGGCCTTGGACCTTGTTGATCCTTCCTATCTCTGCCTCCTGATACCAAGTAAGAGCCCCATGCTAATACCTCTTCATGACTTTAAGAAAACCTTTTTATTTCTGAGCAAGGTGGCTCTTAACTGTCATCCTAGCTACTAAGGAAGTGCGATCACCAAAATGGTGATTTGAGGCCAGCCTGGAAAAAAGAACAGTCAGACCACATGTCAACCAATAGATTGTACTCATGGTGCAATCTGTCAAGAAATATAAATAGGAGGATCATAAACCATTTATGCCAAGGCAAGCAAAAACATGAGCATCTATTTAAAAAACTGCTGAAGTATAAAAGGCTGGGGGTGTTGCTTAAATTTTAGAGAAACAGCCTAGCAAGTGCAGGCTCTGGGTTCTAAGTACCATGATCAAAAAGAACAAAATAAAAACAAATTAACCTTCTTTATTATTGAAGACTTCAAACATTGCAAAAGGTGAAAAAAAATAGGTCAATGAACTCATTATGCCTTTCATTGAAATTAGGTAATTATCAATATATTGCTAATCTTTTTCATGTATACTTGCTGTCAGCCAGCAAAGTATCTTGAAGCAAACCCCAGGCATCATATTATTTAATCCGTAGATGTTTCATCACAGAGAGTTTAAAAACAAACACCATTTTCTCACTTAACAATTGATGACAATTTCCTCATATTATCAAATACTCAGTGTTCACTTTGTCCTGATTATTATAATCCTTGGGCTTGAAATGAAACCCAAATAAGTCTACCCATGGTGATTATTTTGTCAGTATCTAGTCTCTGTTACTCTGTCAGCTTTATTTCTTACATCTTTTTCACCATCTTGAGTTTGATGACAGTATTTACACAGTGTGGTTAAATGTCTTTACTTTGTATTCTCTGCAAATGAGTAGTTAGAGCTGGAATTTGGATGTGATCAAGGTCTTTGTTTCAGGCAGGTGAGGGATAATCTCATCAGGAAGTATACTGTATTGCATTCATGGTTGCAAAAGGTGATATTCTAAAACCATCACCTTCTCCAGGCCTTCTGTCCATGATGTCAATGATGGTTGTCTGGAGCTTGCTCTCTAATAGGTCACTCAAAAAAGGAACCTAGCTAGGGACAGTAGTTTCTGAGCTCATGTGCATTTGCAACAGCTCAGAGTTCTGTATCTTGTCCTGCATGTGAAGAAGGTACTTTAGGTTACACAAAGCCCAATCGCCATTTTTACTTGGAGATGGGGACTGATTTGAGGTTCTGTGAAGAAACTGCCCAGTGCATAGATTCTAAGATGCCAAGCGAAGGATAGCAGGGCCCAGCAAGCAAAAGGGCAGACAAGTTCTGACAGCCTTCTCGCTGGAAGATCATGTTGATGGATATAAAATCCATGCAAATTCCATGCCAAGCAAACTTTGCCATTGTGTGTGTGTGTGTGTGTGTGTGTGTGTGTATTGGTATTGGGGCTTGAACTGAGGGTGTAGATGCTGTCCCTTAGCTTCTTTGCTCAAGGACCACTAGCCTTGAGTGAAAAAGTGGAGCCATATCTCCACTTCTGGCTTTTCAGTGGTTAATTGGAGATAAGAGTCTCATGGACTTTCTTGCCCAGGCTTGCTTTGAACCATATCCTCAGATCTCAGCCTCTTCAGTTGCTAGGATTGCAAGCATGAGCCATCAGCTCCTCACAGCAATTTATTAATATGAGTGTTTTAATCTATTAATTCTTTAATTATCAACAGTAAGTATTGTCTTGGAAGAGTCTCACCAAAACTTCTGTTTCTTTTTTCTCCAGTATTAGACCTTTTAGCTTGGTTATTCAAAAACTATTTTGTCTCTTACAATACTCTTATTAGCATGCATCTTGATAATGATTATTATGCATAAATATTCTCAAGAATGTGACCTACTGCTTAATTATGCAGCTTCAGGATTGAGTATATAGTTTCAAATTTTCTTGAAATAGTGCTTAATGTTTTTTCTATTTATTTTAGATTTCTTTCTGAAGGACATACATTTGTATGCATATATTTTGCCTTGTCAGTAAAATTTCTGTTTCTGTCATTTTCTCCTGAATCTTCTTAACCTCAAGTTTATTTATTAAAACTTTTTACTCTTTAGCTATAGTGTTTGTGTCATGAATGACTCTTCCCATTGAGCTTGCATTTCTGCCTTGGTTTTTGAAAACAAGAAGTCTATGTTGAGTGTTATCAGATTTTTGGTTAAACTATATTTTTTCTATTACTTTTCTATTTTTCTATTATTGTAATATATACATTTATAATATTAAGTATATATTATTAATATATACTAAAGCATTTATAATTTTCTTAATTTCTTTTGGCTCATTTTGGTTACTTTTTATTTTTTTATATATTTTTCTTCTTTTTGTACTTTTTTATTGTAAAAATATTGTATAGAGGGGTTACAGCAAGGTAATGAGTACATTTCCTATCAAGCATTGTTTCCTCTTCTTTTGTTTTTCCCCTACCATCCCTTCCCTCCCACCTCCACAACTACCACCTGCCTTACCCCGCCAAAGTTGTAAAGTTCGTTTTCAACAGTGTCTTGTACATCTCATGCTTACAATGGGTCGACCTGTATCCCTATTTAAGCACTTTTTTTCTCTTCCCCTCCCCAAATTAGAAAAGTGTATATACAAGATGCAGGGCACTGTCATCAAATACAGTGAAAAAAGGAGTTATACCATGGGGGAGGAACATACAAAGAAACCAAAAAATCACATGGTACATTATTAATATGTTATAAAAAATAGCAAGAAAGAAAACAATTGTGCCTCTTACATGGTCATATGTACATAGCTTTTGACCTTTTCTACTTCTCCTACACATGTACTAGTTATTGCAAATAAGGGAAACCCTGGGACTTACGTTTTTGGGGGCCTGGCTTACTTCACTTAATATAATTTTTTCCAAGTTTTGCATGTGTTTTTATGGTACATTTTTGTAGAAATAACATTTTTCTTATTTCCTTCTCATTATAATACTGATCTTTTACTTGATGCTGAGTGTAAGAAGTCCATTTTTAAATGCTTTTAAAAGAGATCAAGAGCTAGCATGATTTTGCTTGTTTCATGGCTATAGAGTACATTCTTCTGCTGTTCTCATGAAGTGATAAAAAATAGCATCCCTATTACTTTCTAAGATCATCTGTCTCTGTTCTTCTTCTTTTTTCTTTGGGCCTTCACTTTCATTTCTTGTGGTTGTTCCTGTCCTGTTCAATTTGGTATCTAATTCCAGTAGAGTCTCCTCAATGTGCAGCCTTGCTCTAGAAGGCTGTTTAGTTTGACAAGATTGAAGAGCCCAGTATCTGGCTTCATTGAAACTTCAAGGATGCTTTTTCTGGGTCTTGTGAGCTATCTAAAAGTCTCCCAACTTTGTATCTGTGAGCTTTGATCTGATCTATCTTCTGCTGTAATCACTTTACAACCATCTTGGGCTCCAAAAAAAAGAAGACTTTCCAAAAAATACCTTGTATGAAAGGCAAACTCCATCAAATAGGCAAAGCTTTCTTATCCTCTTAAAGGAATCAGCCAATAACTCAGTTTACTTGTCCCAATGGTAAAGTGACAACGTCTCGGGAACGCCTCCAGAGACAAAAGGCTAATAATAATGATCCTTTAGAAAAACCCTATGACTTAAGACTGTTTTAACTATGCATACCTTTCCTACTTTCTACCTTCAATTCACCTTATTTAACCTAAAGCCAATGTCTGTACCTCTAAAGATGGCTAAAGATGTACTGAAGAGCTGTCTCCCTATGGCTGCCATGTAAAAGATCTCTTTTCTCTACCTTTCACCATGTCTCCTTATTTGACATATGGGAATTAGTAGCCAGACCTAATATGGAACTCCAGGACTTTGGTCTTAGGGCTTAAAAACCGGTTTCATTATGGTTGCTTGGCTCACTCTCAAGCCGGATCATTGGGAACATCCTGTAGCCTCTGCCTCC